CTGGGGCTGTCCTCGTAAGCTAGATTCCATCTGGAGAAGCACCCAAGTGGTACTAGAAAGGCACCACATAGCTGGAGCATCTGGGGAAAGAGAGCTGGGGCAGTTGTGGTGCGGGTGCTACTGGGCTCTCTCTAACAACACAGGAACTGAGCAGTTGCCACTGGCTTTAGCGGGCTTGCCATCGGAATCTTCCTGTGGTATAGTGTAGATTTCTCCAAGATGTGTGCCTCTTCCTTGGCTATGTAGCAACGAAGCTTGGTTTCCTGGCCCTTGTAGAAATTCTTTGTTACCTTAATACCCCTAAATAATTCCCTTTCTTATTAACCTAGCTGAAAGAGATTTTGTTCTCTGTAACAAGGACCTTGACAATAGAGCATGCTTTCTAAGTCTCCATTAAAGATCTTTCTTCAGGAACCTCAATTTTGAATGTTCCTGAATCTGATTTTATATGTTAATTTATGACTTGAGGTGTTCATAGTTGTATAAATTTGGAATCTTCACCAATTTGTTCTGAGAGCCAGGAACTTGATTTCTGGTGGATTTTTTTTGTTTTTACTTTTTTCTTTTTTTAACTTGGGCTCCAGACCAATGGCAAGCTCTCTTGAAGCATACATTTTTTCCTATCCCCTTTCTACAGACTACAGAGGTTTTTCAGACTCTGGGATTTATGAAACTCTCCTGCAAAACATTGGATTTAACAATCCTGGCCACTGCCGTCAAGATCAGAGTCTGAAATCTAAAGGGTTGCTGAGTATCAGTTCTCATTTATCACTATCCCTTTTTTCTTTTCATTATTTCTCTCACAAGTGGCATTCACTTTCTTCATTTTGAGCTCATGAAGTGTTCAAATTTTCTTTTTTTAAATTTCGTGACTTGTAGTTAGTGAGGTCCCAGTCCGTGTCTATTTACCTTCCATATTGCTGCAAGTCCAGGTCTAAAAATGTCCATCTATATTAATCAAAATGATTAGAGTGCATTCTCATTAGCTTGTAACATTTATGAGCTGATGATTTCCTACAAAAAGGGCAAATGGTTGGTATATAGTCATGGGGGAAGCAAAAGATATCCAAGGAGAAAAATCTTTTTGTGCATTTCCAGCACATCTCAGGTAGAAGCTATTTGGTTTTGGAGCATTAGAACTGATTATCTGGAACTGTGCTGTTGCTTCTGGTAGCTGTTAGCTACAAGTGGCTATTGACATTGAAATTAATTACATTAAGTAAATTGAATATTCGGTTCCTCAGTTACACCAGCTGCATTTGATTTCAGGTGCTCTGTAGTCACACGTGCTAATGGCTACTGTACTGGACACCTACTGCATGTCAGACACTGCTGTAATCATTGCATTAGGGGAACACAGACTATCCTGAAGAGCTTCGCCCTAGTCAGGGAAAAGAGAATAAACATGTAGCCAAGCAAAAAAGAACATTTAAAAATAAAAACATTTTAGGTACTGGTATGCAATGACAAAGATAAAATAAGATAATATAGTGATTAGAGGGCTGCTTTATAGGTAGATTTATTAGCAAAGGCCCTCTGAGTTATTAGCTGAGTGGTAACAAGGTGATGGATTGCACAATTCTTGAGGAAGTGGGTATGCAGCAGATAAGACGATAAGCACTAAGGCCCCAAACAGAAAAAACTTGACGTGTATAAGGTACAGATGAAAGGCCCATGTGACTGGTAATGAGTGAAAAGGGTAAGAAAGGAGGGAGATGAAAGCAGAGACGTTGGCCTGATAGTTTGAGGTTTCTTCTGGTTGCAGTGAGAAGCCATTGAAGAATTTTAAACAGAATAGTAACATGGTCTAATATATACTTACGAAAAATCATGAATAAAATGAGAGTAGGACAAATTTAATAGAAGTGACTCTTGAACTGAGTTTTCAAAATATTGCTGCTTCTTCCTCATCATCTGCTATTTTGCCCATTTGCAGAGTATGGGGAAAGGAAGCTCTGCCCTATAGTCTCCAGTAATAGACTTTTTTCTGGGCCACTTGTGGGCCTTTTTTGGACAGGGATGTTGGTGTATGGAGAGAGTAGACTGGAGACTGGGGTGGTAAGTTAAGGGTGGATGAACAGGTTGCCTTTATTGGGAAGAAGTGATGTATGCCAATTTCACTAAAGTTGGAAAGAGAAGATAAAAATTTTCACATGTTAAATATTCTGCAGCTAAGTGAAATGTGCCCAACTGATTTCTCATCCCGTCTCAGTAATGTTATCAAAACTAAGTGGTGATGTCTTCTTTTAAGAATATCGATTAACTACCTGCATATGACTTTTTTGAAGCCCCGTTAATGCAAATGTAATGGGGCAGATGCAAGTTCAAAGCACTGGAGGACAATATTTTCAACCCTGTCGCATTGTTTAATGAGACAGTGAATTCAGTTGACTTCCAGTGTGTCATGTCTTGTAAATCACTGGGTTATTAAGTTTAACAGGGTGAATGAATGTTCTGCTCCCATCTCCATTTCACAGCATTATTACTCTAGAGAATAGCTGGGGACCATGGGGTAATAATCCCTAAATTATTGGCTCATAAGTAGAGTGACCCTCTTATATGTGAGGGATTTAGAGGGAAGACACATTTATGTGTCTGAGAAAAAATATGAAAATTTAGATAAAAAAGAATTTTACATTTTCTCTTTGAGTTAGGACCTTGATAGGATGGCAAATTAAAATTTGTGTTTACGGGCACAAGTTATTGTTCAATTTTGCTTATTTCCCTTGAGTTTGGGGGTTTTACAGGACTTAATTTTAGTATAATGGAGAGAAAAATAGTCTAATTGCTGTACTTCTCTGTGTTTTACTTAGACAGAGTCTCCCAGTATGAATTTAAGCTGTTTCCTGGTGAGTGGGATTGCCACTAAGTTATAGTGTTCTATACTGTTGCTCTAGTGGTCCCAAAGAGCTGAGATATCCTAGTGCCTTAGTGATTAGTGTCTGCATGCTTAGGTAATTTAAAATGTCTCTACATAGCTCAATATATTTTGAACTGATTTGACATTGATAATAGCTAGGCTGGTTAGAAGTGTGAGCAAATTCTGCGTTTCAGAGACTGATGTATCAAGAGAATGCAGCTGTCACAATTAAGAAGAAAAGACATTTAAGCCACCATAGACAGAAGATACTGCTATAATAAACGGAACCTACAAAATATGAAGTGAGTGGCCCCGTTATGCATATGCACTCTTGTTTTATTTAATATCTCTTCCTTGTTAGAGTGTGAATCTAGCCTTAGGCACCGGGCTGAGGAAGCATTATTACTCAGCTGCCAAATGGCCTAGATTTAAGATTACCATCCACTCATAGGTTTGTGAGCTTTATCAAACAGAACATCATGAATAGGTAAGGCAACCCTTCTGCCTTTTCTCTTGACTAAATTAATTACATCTAAATGACAAAGGTCCTGCTTCTGAGTCACACTTGTCATTGAGCTAGTTGAAATCTTGTGAGTTTTCTGCCTATCCTCTAAAAAAAAATTTCTAATTTCTGTACCATTATTGGAATCAGAGGGAAAAAAAGGGAATGTAAAGTAAAACACAGATCGAGATTGATGTGGTAGTTTTCCGGTTTTTGCCAGATGAACCACTCTTGGTAACTTTGTGCTATGAATTCTTACTTGTCTATGCTAATTGGATCGAGAAGGGAAAGAAATTTCCTTTCCTTTTGTTCCTCCTGGATTTAAAATCACTGAACAGATGCGGCCATATAAACCTGCATTTAGGTCCCTTATATTTTTGTTTATGGACACAATTGTGAGTTGTGTTCTTCCTGCATTTGTAGTTAGAGGGTAAAACAGATGGGAAGGGCTCCGTGTAGAGAGATGTCCATTAAAATAACTTATGCTGCCAAGTGGTTGCTCCCTCCAAGAGGGGAACTCAGTTTCCTCCATGAAAACCAAAGCAGGAGCACATGCATGTTTCGAAGGAACGTTGTTTCGCAGGGCAAGCCATCACAGGAGCTGGACCGTACATTGAAAATGCTAAAACTAAAGATGCATCAACAACGTCTTCTTTTCTAAAACATGAGCATTGTTGGAGGTGGGAGTTGAGGTTCAGACGGAAGCCCTTTGAAGTGCAGTTTAACATTCTAACCATCTCTGCGCTAAGCCTGCCATGGATGTACCGGAACTGTGTGGAATCATATATTTTTCTCTCTGAAATTTTAGCCATTCTTATGGAAGCAAATGTGGCATCACTAGTAGTGATTTGAGGTCCATCCGTCTATGCCTTACATATGTACTTAGGAAGGAAAGATAGTTAGGACATTTCAATTATCACATGAGGCAGCACAACCTAGTGGTTAAGAAGGAGGATTCTGAGTCAGCCCCTCTGGGTTTGAAGTGTGTCTGCCGTTTACCTGCTGAGTGACCTTGGGGAAATTACTTAACAACTCTGTGCTTCAATATCTTCCTGTGTCAGGTTGGAATGACTAAAAATGCTAGTCCTGATGGTTTGTTGTGCTCAACAAATATTATCGACATTTTATTATTAAATAAATAGCACCTCATCACCAGAATATTTTATATTTATTTAGCCTTGTTTTTTTGTTTTTTACAAAAACAGCTTTAATCACTTTATTTTTCAGAAAGAGGCAATTATAGTTTTTATGCCAAAGGAAAAAAAGTGGAAGTGAACGTCCTAAAATTCAAGCCAGATTTGTATATAACTGTAAGTGCAAGTCTAAGCTGGGAAAAATTCCTGTCTGGTGCCTGTGTTTTTGACAGCTTTCCTGTCTGCACACAGCAGAAGAATTTAAAATATAAAGCTGTTATCAACATGAAAATTACACAAAGATAATCTTTCAGAAAGGAAACTATACACTTATTTTGTTCGCTCAGTATGTGAGAATCTTTGCTTTGAGTGATGTAAACATGCATGTTTCCTTATCAATCAATATAAAAAAATATTTTTGATGCCTTTATGTCTTGCTCCATTCCACGCACTGCATTTTGAGGTTGACTCAGATTCTGCTCACAGGAAGCATATTTTTTAACAGGACGAACACGTCTTGTCTTTTCGACTCTGTTCTCATTGCAACAAACACAGGAAAGGAGAAGAAAGGGACACAGCCCCCGGGCTCACTTGTGAGGTGAGTGGAACCTGCAGATCCAAGGGTTTCCCAGTCTGTAGACCTGCAGCCGGAATTTGAAGAGTGTGTCAGCTTCCTGTGTAACCTTGGTTGTTTCTTTACCTTCACTTTGAAAGTAAGATTGCAGCTCTTATCTCAAAGAGTTGTTATGAGGAATAATTGCACTGGTCTAGTGCAGTCCCTGAAACATATCTGCTATTCAGTAAACAGATTGAGCACCTTTTTCCCTTTTCTTTTAGATTCCACCCCAAATCACTTCAATGCACTTTGTTCAAGGCACTATTTGAAGCCTAATGCCAATGATATGCAATTCTTTCTGCTAATATTTGGTAATTGATGGTCCAAATCCCAGAGACTTGTGAATAGACCTGAGGGCATCAACTCTTATATCAAAGATCATATTTAATGTCAAAATAGGAATAATGATAGCTAACCTTTACGTGGCGTTTACTGTGTGCCAGGCACTGTTCTAAGCACTGTCCGTATGTTCCCTCACTGAATCCTCACAGCAATCCTATGAAGTAGGTATTATTATTTTTCTTTTTAAGGCACAGGAAGATTAAAACTTGCTCAAGGTCACACAGCCAATAATTGGTGAAGTTGGGATTGGCGTAGCAGTGATGCACTGACGCAGTACATCTCAAAGTTAGAGGGAATTTATGAAGGCAGGAGCAAGAAGAGCACTGTATCTTATATTTCATTCAAGGTCATAGACTCTGCAACATGAACAACAAAAAAAGGAAGAATAAATATTGGAGAGAAAAATATAAAAGCATTCTTCTATGTGGACAATATTGTCCTCTACATAGAAAAAGCCAACACAATCAACTGAAAAATTATGAGAAATGCTAAAATAGGTCAGTAAAGTGATCTTAAATCAAAGTACAAAAGCTATTTTTTTAACAAACAAACAGCAATTGATTAAAAATATAAAAAAATATTTTCATTCAAAATAAGAATATAAATTTTAAAGGAATAAGATTAAAACTTGTAAGAACAATGTGCAAAACCTTAATGCTGAAAATATAAAACTTTAAAGCTAGATCAAAAAGAAGATCTGAATAAATAAAGGTATATATCACATTTGTGGATGTAAAATCTCAATATTCTAGAAGATTAATTTTCAAAATAATCCTTAAAGTTAATATAATAGTCATGGAATTTAGGAAAGAGTTTTTCATGGGACATGAAATCCAACTCTAAAATTCATATGGAAAAGAAGACAGAGAAGAATAGTAAAAATAGTTTTGAAGAATGATAGCAGTCCTATCAGATGTCAAAATATAATTGAAAAATGTAGTAAATAATAAGTTGAGATATTTAAAAGAACACAAAGGAGTATCTAGAAATGGACATACAGAAATTTAACGTACCAAAAACATCTTTTCTGGTAAAAAATATGGACTATTTAATAAAATGGAATTGAGATAATTTTCTATCTTCCAAGCAAAATAATACTTGGATTCCTACCTTTGAAGATTCACATAAATATGTTTCAGATGAACCAAAGACCAACGTATAAAAACAAAAACAAACAAACAAAAAGGAAAGTCTATAAATATATTACAAGAAAACAAAAAAATGTCTCACCTTAGAGCAGGGAAGGTATTCTTTAAAAACAACAACAACAACAAAACACATCAATCAAAACTGATAAATTTGTTCATGTCAAAAATAATATTTCCAAAGACAAAAGATGCCACAAATTTAAAGAATATGTAACAAGTTGGTAGGAAACATTACAGCATACAACATATAAAGAAATTCAACAAATATCTAAGAAAAAAAATAAAGGATATAAACAGTCAAAAGTCAGATGAGAAGAATAAGACAATAAACACAAGAAAAGATCAATGCCACTTACTTGCAACTGGAAATGCAAATTAAAGGAATGAGATACCATTTTCACTTGTCAGACTGGCAACAAATTTAATTTCCTTAACCACCAAGTGTTAACAATAATGTGAGGAACAAGTGCTCTCTACATTGTTAGTGATTGTATAAAGGTATAGTAATTTTGCAAGGCAAATGGATAGTTTCTATGAAAAAATTTTAAACATTCTTAATTTTCAATAATTATACTTCTAAATATTTACTCTGGAGAAATTCCATCATATATACAAGGTGGCATGACCAAGAATGTTCACAGTATTATCTCAGATACAAAACCAAAAGGAAAATGGAAACAACCTAAATAACTATCAAAAGGAAACTGTTAAACAAATTATGGCACATTCATACCTTGGAATACTTTGGGCAGTGAAAGAACTCATGGACTGCTATGGAAAAATAGGTATACTTTTGGGTAAAGAATGCAAGTATGAGAATGATCTCTTCAGTGTGGTACAATTATAATAAGACATACACTCACATTTAGAAAATAATATGTATCCTATGCAGAAGTGGAAAAAAGTACTGGATAAATTCACACAAAAAAGTTATTTGTTGAGATCTGGAGACTGTTCTCAGATCGGGTGTGGTTTTTCAAAGGTGGCTTTACATTTTCTTCTAATACTTTAATATTTTCAAGGTGCAACGATATATATGTGTGTGTGCATTCTTGGTAACATATAAATATATGTTTTATTTATATAATACATATAAAATATATTTAACAATACAAAAATATATTTGTATGTTATGTATCTAAATATATATAAAACTTGTATAGTTTTATAAGATTGGGAATTCTTTTTTCAAGTACAAATCCTTTTTAGTTGTAATAATCATTTTTAATTTATTAAGAGTGACATCACTCTGGCTACCAGAGATTAGGGAGGATCTATTAAAGAAAAGGCTCCTAAATTAGGACTTGACATGGAGTTAAATTGAAAGAGTAAAAATTAGTTTAATCAGCAATTGCAGAATAGAGAAATACAGGTCAAGTCCTTATTCCGAGATTGTTTAGCATTTTGTTAGTACACATTTCATCTTGAGTAATTAAAGTGAGGGTAAGAGGCCACTAAAATTGACTACGTTGTATTTTTGTTCACTTTATATTGAATGGACATTTAAGTACAGTAATTCTCAGCCCTTCAATATGTCTGGAACTAGCAATTGGAACAACCTAGAATACAATGATTATACATGTTAAAATAGCAATAGATATTTTGTAGCTTCACCAAATAGATTTTTGCTAGTAACACTCTTATTGTGATATTTCTTCTTGAGCTCTTCATTTTGGTCCTAAACATAATTTAGTTTATTTGTTATTGCTTCAGTTTGAAATTGAAATAGCTGTAAAAGTAAGATTATATCATGGTCCTTACAATGGCAAATATTAAAGCAGTTTAGAGAGAACTTCATAATCAATCCTGTTGCCTCTATTTTTGTTTTAAATATTTCTCAAAATGTTGAAATTTAATAATACTTAAAAAATTGTCATGTGAATATAAACTTTTTTTTTTGCTGAGGAAGATTCGCCCTGTGCTAACATCTTGCCAATCTTCCTTTTTTTTTGCTGAGGAAGATTCACCCTGTGCTAACATCTTGCCAATCTTCCTTTTCTTTTGCTGAGGAAGATTAGCCCTGAGCTAACATTTGTGCCAGTCTTCCTCTATTTTGTATGTGGGACACTGCCACAGCATGGCTGGTGAGTGATACAGGTCTGCAACTGGGAGCTGAACCAATGAACCTGGGGCCACTGAAGTGGCATGCACAGAACTTTATCCACTCAGCCATGGGGCCAGCCCCTGAATATAAACATTTTTTAAAAAGACATATCTAGTTAATTTTAAAATTGTGTTGTAAAAGTCATCTTCTCAATTTGGCAATCTTAAGGCCATGAGAAAGTAATTTTGTTAAGATATAAAAGTATTTAAATTTGGTAGTAATTTTTTTCCATAGAGAATACTATCAGGAATTTTAGACTATACCAAAATATTGTCAAAAAGAGATTGAACAGATATTATATCTCACTTTTAAAAAGAAGACACTCTCCCCGGCAGCGGTCCAGCTTCTTAGATTCACCTCGACATTAAATTGCGTGTTAATGTCGGATTCGCTCTGGGAGTAGACTCAAAATGACACAGCTGCTCTCAGTGCACATCAGCTCCGAAGCAGTGGGATGTGACCCAGCAGAGAGACGGAGACGGAGTGTGGGAAGCATTGTTAAATAAATAGAAGCATCTCTGAGCCTTTAAAAGTTTTTCTTTTGAAAAATCTTTATCCAGACCTTTCTTAGAAGAGCATGTCGGTGAACCGGCTAACAGCGTGAACTTCGCCATCAGACAAATCTCAGCTGAATTCTGACTCCATCTTGGCTAGCTGCATAATCATAGGCCTTTTCCTTTCACTCTCGAAACCAGACCTGTAAAATGGTGATAACAACACCCACCTGAAGGTTATTATGATAATTAAATGAGATGGTGCATGGAAAGCACTTAGTAGGGCATGGAAAACACTTAGTAGGGCACATAATAGATGCACAAAATACTGTATTTCATCAAATCTAAGGACCATCCTTGTAAAATGCACCGTTATTTTATGTATCACAGATAAAGAAAAAGACCGCAAATTATACCATTGAGAGACATCTCCATTTCAGAAATAACACGTGAAAAATGTCTGTATTAGAGTAGATGAAACATAGTGATGATCTCTTTTATCAGACTGTTGTTCTATCCAAAAAAACCTAAGCCTTGTAAGGTGAACTTGTCATTCGAATTGAGTCTTTAGCAGATGTTTATTTTCTTAAGCACTACTTTTGTATGGGACTATATAAAAATAAGGAGCCGTCCTCCTTTCTTTCTAAAGAATGTATGATGTGTTTGGACAGACACGTGTGCCATTAGTCATAAGGTGGTTGAGGCTTTTTAAGCAGGGATAGCGTCTATAGTCTCTGACCAAGAGTCATCTGACCTGTGTTTGGACATCTCCTGATGGCACCCTTCGTTCAATAAGCCTGTCCTGTCCCTCCATGTCTGGATAGACTTTGTTTTCATCTTTTTTATTTTTACTTTTGCTGAGGAAGATTCACCCTGAGCTAACATCCGCTGCCAATCCTCCTCTTTTTGTATGTGAGCCGCCGCCACAGCATGGCCACTGACAGACAAGTGCTGTAGGTCCATGCCCAGGAGTGGAACCTGGGCTGCCAAAGTGGAGTGCACTGAACTTAACCACTAGGCCACCAGGGCTGGCGCAGACCTTGTCTTTAAGAATGTGATTATTCCTTCAGTTGTAATAAACCTTTGTCTCAAAAAGCCATCATGTGATCCTAGTACTATCCTTAGTCACACATATTATTAACTGTCCTTCATACTGGTCCAACAAAAATTAGATGATACCTCTTTTGTCTAATTTCTCCTCAAAAAAGTTGTCTGTCCTTTGCATAGAAGTAACGGTTAATATTTTCTAAGCACTAAATCTATGCCAGAGACGTCCTATGTGGTAGAGGTGGTTTCCTTCATGTGACCTTCCAGTGATGCTTCATTTCTAGCACACACTATTGATGTCCTAATCTTGTGGTGGAAGAAATGAGTACAAAGAAGGTAAGTAAGTAAGCCTCACCAGTTTTCTGTGCTGGTAGGAGGTGGAGCCAGGATCCAGCCCCACGCTCTGACTGTTGAGGAAATATTATCTATTAAAGGGGCGTGCTGCTCTTTTAAAATTGTCCCCCTCCTCATAGGTTTCTCACTATTGCTATTATATTTCTTGGGATATATTCTAGTTAATAATTGTCCTCCTTAAAATATAGCTTCTGGGACTGGAAACAGTTCTTCAGAAGTGACCGGATGCCACAAGGGTGAAGGGACCCTGTGACCAGCCTTGGCAGTTAGATTGTAGCCCTCTGCTTGCTTCCTTCTTAAGCATGCACAGCAGGCAGAAGGCTGTTTGTGACAGGGTGTTCAAGTGAAAACTTTATGATCCTCTTCTTCTATAAGCTTCTGTTGAAATCTGTAGCTTCCGTCTTTTGGCTGATGCCACTGCTTGATAATTTTCTCAGTCTACTTTTGAAGCAATATCAAAATTGATATTTGTGCCCGTTAAAGTTCATGCTGTATGTGGACAGTTATTGAGATGCTTTAAAATTTGTTCCCCAATGTGTTATTCCTCCTGGGAATAGTTAATACACAAAGTTCAATATTTCTTGAATTTTTGTAATCATATTTCTATTCATAATAAGTTGGGCCATCTTCAAAACTAGCTCTGCCTCTGAGGCACCAGTACTCAATGAGGATGAGTAAAATCTGCTACGTAACTTCTGTATGTCTGCTTTTCTAGATCAGAAAACCAGGTGGCCATTTGTTGGAGGAAACTGTTTCTGGTGCCTGACATATTGTTATTGAAGACTACATGACCCTTGCAGCTATGTGGGAAGGTCTGACAATCCCGAGAGCCTGATGATAATCTTGATATTTCATACCTTTCTCAAATTCTGGTCTATGTCAGTTTTTGCGATTACAACAATTTAAAGCAGAATCACCATATGTTGATAGTAAAACTGCTTCTCTAGTGGATAATTTTTACTTCTAAGATCTGGGACTTGGGCAAAAAGTCTGTTTTCTGCAAAGTAAAGTACTTAATTTAAGAAATATCATATTATTCAGCTTTCATTCTTCGCATGGGAAATTCATCTATTCCCCTGATAACTTCAAGTTGATTTTCTGAGTATATAAACTAGATGGTGTACTTGGC